ACAAGTAAAGACAGACAGGTGAGACACAGACAGGTAAAGACAGACAGGTGAGACTCAGACAGGTGAGACAAAGATAGGTGAGACACAGACAGGTAAAGACACAGACAGGTGAGACACAGACAGGTAAAGACAGACAGGTGAGACATAGACAGGTAAAGACACACAGGTGAGACACAAACAGGTAAAGACAGACAGGTGAGACACAGATAGGTGAGACACAGACACGTAAAGACAGACAAGTGAGACAAAGGTAAAAACAGACAGGTGAGACACAGACAGGTGAGACACAGACAGGTAAAGACAGACAGGTGAGACACAGACAGGTAAAGACAGACAGGTGAGACAAAGGTAAAGACAGACAGGTGAGACACAGACAGGTAAAGACAGACAGGTGAGACACAGACAGGTAAAGACAGACAGGTGAGACACAGACAGGTAAAGACAGACAGGTGAGACAAAGGTGAAGACAGACAGGTGAGACACAGACAGGTAAAGAGACAGGTGAGACACAGACAGGTAAAGAGACAGGTGAGACACAGACAGGTGAGACACAGACAGGTAAAGAGACAGGTGAGACACAGACAGAGACAGACAGGTGAGACACAGACAGGTAAAGACAGACAGGTGAGACAGGCAGGTGTTGAAGTTGTGACGTTGTCCTCTGTGTCTGCTGTGCAGAAACCTCCAAGCATTAACAGGACCTCAGGATCCAGGTAAACATAAACCGGGTCAGAACTGCTTCTGGTGTTGCTCAGAATGTTTCTGGTTCCAGAACCTCTGAAGGGTCTCGGGTTCTTGTTGGGCACGGGTCCTGCAGACGTTTTGGGAACCTGTTGCTGTGGGTGTGTTTGTGATTGGCTGGTTGCTGTGACGTCACTTCCTGTTTCCAGCCTGAGACGCTCTGAGGAGGAGCAGGTTCTGTTTGTGAATTAGATCCTAAACCTAAACTCCACCCTCCTGGAGCGTCCCGGGCTTACGAAACGAGCGCACCTTCTCCAGCTAACACTGGTTCTGCTTCCTGAGCGGTTTGGGTTTTTGTTAACAAGCTAACGGTTCTTTGGCTCAGATCATTTGAGTTTGTTTGTTCGAATTAACACAAACATTCAGGTGATCATCAGCAGGTGAGTCTGAAAAATGAGACGGCTGAGGGTCACCTGTCAGAGGAAATAATGGAAGAATTTCAAAATAAAGTTCCTGAATAAAAGAGAGGAACCATGCTGCCTGCTATCAGCTCACAGTTTAAAAGCCTGCCTCTCTGATGCTATAGGGGTGCATTAGTGCCTCTGACACTCAAGTTAAACTTGTTGAAAATAAATTTAAAATATTTAAATATTTTAAATGTTTCTTTGTTTCTCGGCTGCAGATAAATGTTTCCCCAACCAGAACACCCCGGCGTCCATCTTCTCCTCTTCATCATCCTCAGACACGGAGCCTAACTCCTCCTCTTCCTCGTCTTCCTCCATCCTCCCCGTCAGCCAGATGATCAACAAGGTCAAAGGTTACTGCTCCACCCGCACCGACAACTTCTACAAGAACATCATCATGTCCGACAGCTTCACCAACTGCACCCGCCTCTGATGGGAGGGGGGACTTTGGACCGGTTCAGGAGGTTCTGGACCTCACTGTCCGATATTTGACCCGGTCTGTCTCCTGTAAATAGTTTGGACTTTTCTTCAGACATTTTGTTTCGTTTTTTTTTTTTTTTATCTTTATCATCGGGATCCAGAGGAGGAGACTCTGAGAAACTAAAAGTTTCAGAACCTCCTGGTTCAGATCCAGATCCAGGTCTGGGTCCTGGTCCGTCCAGAAGAAGAGCGCCGCCTTCAGCCGTCCATCTCTCTTTCTGTTAAATATGAACTCTTTGTAGTTTTTCTAGAGAAAATCCAGAGTTTCATTAAAGTTTCACTCTTTTTCTGAGTTTAAAGGATCCATGATTAGTTGTAACATTAGACTTTATTTGATAAACATATATTTTAACTGTAAAATAAAGACTGAAAAAATAC